TTACTTCTATTAAATTAATATTCTTTTTATTACTAGAAAATGAAATCTTTAAGATTGCTTTTTATTAATAAAGAAGCTTTCTACGTATTTCATTGGTACAAAAAAAAAGACTAAAGGGAAAGAGGAAAAGATGTCCATTTTATCACGGGCCTCATAAGCTATCGACGTCCTTTATACAAGAATTGTTTTAAATACTTGTTGTTTAAATTAAATTAATTAATGTTAAATTATTAAGCAAAGCAACTTAGATTAATTTTAGATAGTATTTATTATCATCATCGGTATTAATTTCTGTTCAGTTCAGTCATTCTTTCCGAATCTGATCTCTTCTCATGATCTTTCATAGTTAATTCGGGTTAGAACTACTTTTTCCTCTTTCATGTTGCCCAGTAAGTTAATATAACCTGAAATGACGAATAGTCTGTTCTATGACTACTTAATCCTGTAAAGTTAATATTAAAAAAATATTGTCAAGATAGTAATAATAATGTTATTGTCTTCGTTCGAATTATCAAAAATACATATTTAAAATAGTACAATGCAATAGCATTAGTCATCAGATATAAAAAAAAGGATTATTACAAGCCAGTTACTAAAGTTTCTGACTATAGTAATTTAGATTTAAATGACTTATTTACAAGGACGTCGAAGGTTCGTATGAAGCGCGAGGCAGCGTGGGTCCCCTTTAATCTTTTTCTTTTCTGTTTTTAAGCAGATGAAATACATAGAATATTTCTTTATTAATTAAAAAAACAGTCTTACTTTTTATTTTTTGTTAGTAAAAATAATATTAATTTTATAGGGAATAGAACTATTACAGGCCCTAAGTTTTCTCCATGCCTGGAAAAATCCTCAGCTCCCCCGCTCTCGAAAATTCTGCTCATTTGCAGGAAAAAAAATTATTTCATTTAAAAAATTGTGTTTCTAGTTTTCATAAAATATACGTGTCTATATTTTAAATGTATTCAGCACAGTTAACAATAACAAAATTTTGCAAGTCATCGTACTATAAATGTGAATAGAAATTATAAAATGAATAAATATAAATTTCGAAAGGCGTCTACGAAATTGAAATGTACTTGTCACTTATTCACAGGAATTATATCTTTAACATTTCTGTGATTTACACATCTATATGAAATAACCGTATTGAAATGAGACGTATAACTTAATACTGTTGACTAATGCAATCATCAAATCTAGAAAGTTAGGTAGACATAGTTTATTTTAAATGCTGAATTATGTTTAATATTATTTTTCTCAAATTTTATGAAAATATTTCGAAATAATATTTTACATTTGTTTATTACTAAAGAGAAATAAGATATTCATTAAATTTTAGTTTATAATCTCAGTTCAATATTATATTAAATTCTATTGGTGACTCATAATAATGGTCTAAAAGTCTTAAAGAGTTTATTTTACAATTAATAATTTCAGAATTTTATATTGAAATATATAATCTATGATATCAAACCTGAAATAATTGTGAAGGAGATCAGTTTTAAATACTTTATCACAAATAAAACGTTGCTGACTTTTTCTATAATTTTCAATATACAAGCATATATAATATCTATTTAAGTTATAAGAAAGAAATATATAAAGAGTAAAGCATTCGAATATTTGGAATAAAAACGAAAATTTTCAGTTTTTTAACAAAATAATTAATAGTTATTTTAGTTCTCTCTTATTCTAATGCATGCATTGGATCATTTTATGACTAAGTTTTGGTACGAAGCATAGAATGATGATTATACTGAATCTATAAATAATATATACAGTTTAGAAACGAAATATAACATACTCCATGCATATATTTTAAAAAACTAACAGTGACGTTATCAACATTTACACTTAAGTAACAAATAAAAATACAGTATTAAACATTGTAAATAGTGAGGTTTTGGAATAGATTTATGACCTATAAGCTATACATTTGTTTAATTTTTATTTAAAATTATTATTTTGGTTTATATTAATAATTGCGTTAAAATTAAAACTAGTTCTTTTTAAGCCCGGACCAATGAAACTTTTTAAATAAGTTACATTTTTCAGAGATAAATGACGCCGTAAAAATTAGTAAAATTTTTAATTATTTTATTTTATTAATAATAATAATTATTATTAAAAGATTATGATCAAATTTTTATTGATAGTAAAAGTATGTTTACAAGGAAATTGCTTTTGTTAATATATTCTTTTTTCATATGATTTTTAAGAGTTAGCATTTATATTCTGTAACAATTTCCATTCATCATGTACATTAATTTTTAACATATGTAAAACGTGATTAATTGTTTCATACCAGTGGTTCAATTAATCATTAAATTAAATAACAATTTAAATTGTAAATTAACTTAATGATTATTTGTATCGCTGATTATGATCACTTAATAAGATGTAAAGCACATCACATAGATGTATGATTAATAGGATCAGTGTATGGAAGGTTTAGCTAATTCAATAGTGGGGAATGTATACAGTATTATATATATATATATATAATAGAATCTCATTTTAACAGATCACTTGGACTGCTGAAAATCATCCATTGTTCTGAGAATCCATTGTATCACGAACCCTGGATATCCCATACACCCTGGAAAATATTTGTTATTCAAAAAATTTCCAGTTTTTAACCTCCTATGTACAGTATAAGAAATACCTGTACTTGAAATTATTCAGTCTCTAGAGATCTCTATTCTTTATTCTATAGTAACACTTATAAGATATATTATGCCCTACGTGTTTACAACAGAGCTGACAGAAACTATATATGTTGTAAGCAAAAGTGAGGCAAATTGCATATGCTCATTAGTATTCCACTTAACTTCATAATTTGTTAAAAATAACTTGTCCCTCTTGGTTTGTTTAGATGCCACTTTTCTCCCTATCAAATACAACAACTACTTGATATTAGCAATGTCATGTAAGCTTGTTCATTTATACTGAAAATTATAAGGAAGATCTCCATAACTTGGAAAGACTTGATGGCCTCACTAAATTTTGACATTACACTTGGACCAGTATCAGAATGTTCATTAGGTTCACCTCCTCAATTGTATCAGCCTGCTGACTCTCTTCACATAATTCTTCAATTGTACATATCCTAAATGTAACGAGTGCATTATCAAACTCAACAAATTCCCAGAAACACCCAAATATTAACTAAACATTGAAAAAATGCAAAGTTTATGATAGATGGGACTAGAAAAAAAGCTATAAGGAGGTAAAATTATACTGATTTGGTGGGACCTGGGAAAAAACCCTTATTCTGACAAATCCATTCTTCTACAAATAGTCTGTTAAAACAAGATTCTACTGTAAACTGTAATAAAAACCTTCATTATTCGAACTGTAGTAAAGTCGTAATTATCCAATCTTCAATTATTTGACCTATCACACAATCTATCACAATTCTCCAAGTTAAAGAATACAAAACTACGTAATAGTGTAAACGTTCCAACATTTAAATTAAAAATTTATAACAAAAAGCATAGAATGGTTAACATTCTAATTTGGAACTTTAAACTAAAAACAGATCTGAAATAGGCTTGTGACGTAAGGCAAAAATATTTGTCAGGAGAGTAAAACAGTGCTAGAATAGAGTTAAGGTATTACTATTACTGTGTTTAATTATCTGACCATTGGTATATGTGCCAGATATTTTGAAAAGTATCTGATTAAAAATCTGTTTAGTTTTGAACTGTGTTGAAGCATCATATAGTGATGTTTGCTCTTTCGTATGGAGGTTTGTTTCTGTAAAATCACAAGTTTGGCTTAACTGCTATGCATTAAGTTATGCTTGTAAATGAAGGTTTGCAACAGGTATTCATTTCATTAACAAACCTATCTAACAGTCTATTTCCAAATATGGTTTCACGTTATTTGGATTTTGTTTTTTATTATTATTTAGTCCATTGCCATTTCCATTTAAGCCAGATGATCAAGATGTTATTATATATTATTGTTGAAATTATTTAAAAACTATCATTAATATACATATTAATCAATGAAAACTATTATTTTTACAGACTGCTTGAAGTTTTGTCTCTCATAACTAAACTATATTAAAAGAAATACTTTAATTAATCAATCCAAACAGTTCTAAAAGCATCCAAAATATTACAAATAAAGCAATTTATTATCCAAAATTACCTAATGAGCTTAAACTATCCACCAGACCATGTTCTAATCCCATTCCTGGAATTGTAGGAAGTCCACCAGGTTCATCTAAACACAAAAAAATAGATTAATATATAAAATTTGTTTTAAATGAACTGAAAAATGTTTGTAACAAGCATTTTATGTATCACTTACCATATTCTGCTGTTTCATCCTGACCTTTCGGCAGAGTGTTTAAGTTATACTTATCTCGCATTTTATCGCCAGGACGATTTCTAGTCCAAAATTTACTAAAAAAACAAATTAACAAAATAATTTATAATTTTAACAAAATTTAATTTTATATTTAAAAAAAATAATTACCTTGTATGATCATTAGAACCAGAACATAATATATGACCCAGGGGATGCCAAGCCAAAGACCAAACGCATGAATCGTGAGCTTGTTCCATTCCTCCAACTTCTTTATCAGCTCTGTCACAAATGAATTAAATAAATTAATGCAACAATGTTTTTGAAAACATGAAACAAAATTCTTTCAAACAAAATTAATTTACTTACCCTACGACCCAAAACATAATTGAACCGTCTGATCCTCCGCTAGCAAATAGACTTTCGTGTACTGGATGCCAACCTAAGCCTAGATTCAAAATATAAATTTAATAACTATAAATAAATCAATATTTATTAAATGACTTATATTCTTAAAGAAAAGAATCAGGCTGGAGTGGGATTCAAACCCACAACTCCTGCTTACTGTGCAGATGCATTGCCAGTTATGCTACCCAGACCTTCATCCAACCCTTCATTAAATTTAATAACAGATGGCTCCCTAATGCCTAATCCTCTAGTACCAAATTACTTAGAATTTAAATATTAATAGTAGTGGAAATATAGTCTGATTCATTACGACAATTGTTTGGTTTTCAACGTATTATTACTTATGCTATTAAATATATTAATTAGATTTTTCCTAACTTTGTAAATATAGTAAGACCCCACTTAACCCATCAGTAGAGCAAGCAACCTGAATTTAAATTCTAACCATTTTCCTGTGCTTCCACACTTCACTTACATTAGCCATTGTATGTGCAAAATATCATAAATCAAAACATTGTAAGTCGAGGAGAGTCTGTATTGAGCTGTCCAACCCATCCTCAGGTTATCAAAACCATTTGAATAAGGTCAAACACAGGTTCTAACATTACATATTGTAAACACCACCCCAAACCCCTTGCTAGCTCACTAGCAATCTGTGCTAGACTGATTATACAATCACGTCTATTCCATCCCACCTTATCCAAAAAATCCTACAGTGGATTTTTCATCTTGATCTTCAAAAAACTTTTATATTATCATTTACAAAATTATTAGAAAAAATACTAAATTCAGGAACAAAAAACAAATTTTATTCAGAAAAACGATTCTTGAATTTAGCATTTTTTCTAATAATTTTGAACATGATACCAAGCACAGTTTTTCACTTGATTATCATTTACAACAAATTATTGGATATTAATGTAGTCTTCGAATGAATAAACAGTTTAGTATTCCTCCAGTACTTAATCCTATTCTACATATTTATTTATTAAATTGCAAACTTCTCTCATTATTGTCTTGTTTAAAATTAATTATGTTAAGCATTAGCCATATTGGGAACTTACTCACATTTCACTTTCCCTCACTCTCTCATACAATAACTACTTTCTTTTCATTATACAGTCGACCGCCCTATAACACAGTAGATACGTTCCATTCTTTATGAAATTGATGTTCTAAGAGTCCTTAAATACATGAGCCAATCACAGCCCGGCACGTATGCAGTTTATGGACTACGGCTGTTTGAAAGGTTTTCTTCCATAAAATTAATCAATTCTAGATTAATTTGACTCAACATTTCCAAAACACACATAATTTTTTGGGAATAATCCATATAAACTATGCTATAAACAAAAAATTGTAGGATTACTTACCGAGTGTACACCGTTTGAATTAGTGTACACCATTGCCTAAGCTTGTTTTTGTCATGGAGCTTGTCATCGAATGGCGCTCGCAAACTTCCTGATAAATTATTTGTTTTGCAAAAAATTCACTGTACTTTGGAGACATCATTAATATATATATAATTTTTATGGACATTAAATAATAAATGGTTTTTAGTAGGTCTGCTGCTTGTTTAAACTCAATGGTTTGTACAATATCCACTATTGATCTAGATTCGACCAATCCTGTCGCAACATGAGTCGGCGATGACATTTTACCAAATTATACGAGTTTTTTTAGCATGTTCGTACGAATACTGTCAGAATTTTTTGCCGTCATATAGGAATCCGAACTATATGAACCCATGTTATAGGGGGGTCAACTGTATTGCAGTTGTGCAAGTAATGGCCTTGAGTTTTAAAACACCTATTCAGCTTTCACATTGATAATGACTATAAACAATGAAAAGGAACATCTCTCCTGAAGCAAACAGAAAATGCTTCAGGAGAGATGTAATGTAAGCTCCAGAAAATTGATCCAGCAATACAAGAGTAGAAGGTCCTTGACGAAAAACTATTGTGCTACATTATTTGTCCTACAGAATATAGTATGCATTCTTTTAAGATTTAATAATTTACTGAATGCTGATTTATCTTAACAATCAAGATAAATCAAAAGACATTGGGAGCCACAAATTGTTCTCAAAGAACTGAACGACTGCGAAACCTCTGGCTGCTGACATTTGAATTAAATGGTCATATATAATCCTTAAATAAGAAGTTAAGGTTCAAATCTAGTCATGAAACTTTTTCTCTACAACTCCTTCTTCAATTTTAATTATTATTAAATAGTCATTATGATACTTAATTTGATGAATTTCCTATAATAACTGATTAGACTAGGCAAGTGTTATTTTCGATTAATCAGTTCTTATAGGAAATTCAGTATAACTATTATTAAATAATATTATAACAGGGATATGCTATTGAAGCTTGTCTTGAAGTTTCCTTCAAGACAAGCTTCAATAGCATATGTAAGTAACTATTCCTATTGTAAAGAACTATTTAACCACAGGAACTTAGAAGAGATATATACAGGGTCTTCAAAAAAGAATGCTACCATTTTAAATTACTGTAATTATGTCAATTATTACCTAAGAAGTGTACATTGTACACCAATTGATAAAGTAACTGTTCAAGTTTTATCTCCCAATTGCATTCAATTGTCTTTTTATCTACTGCATGTAGGAAGCACTGTAAACAAAAATGGTGATTCTGCAACATAAGCATTTTGTGTATTTTAGTAAGCTAACTTCAAATCAATCATAATCGTGCAACAAGAATGTTTGTTTTATAAGGTGAATCACTTTAAAATTGACCATGATTTCAATTTTGAAAACTGCTGAACACAAAATGTTTTCTCTGTTGCAGAGATGCCATTTTCCATTTTTGTTTACAGTACCTCCTACAGGCAGCAGACAAAAAAGACATTTGTATGATAGATGAAACTCAGACAATTACTCTATCAATTAATATACACTAGATACTTCTCGGGCAATAATTAACATAATCACAGTAATTTAGTATATAAACTAAAACATAAAATGAAAAAAATACAAAATATACATGAATAATAAGGCAATGTAAAATGGCACTAATATTAATATTATCATGATTATTATATTAATATTAATATATCATGATTAATATATTATCAGTCAGATTAAACTCATTTTGCAAGATAATAATAAGCTATTTAGACTATTAAAATCATTAAATATTGAATTTATTTTATTCATTGGCATTCAAAAGCTATATACAGTTGAACCTGTCTGTCTCTAACATGTTTATCTCGAAATTTATTTTTCCCCCTGCATTTTCAGCCTAAATTCAATATATTTTCCAAGTTTATCTCAAATTATTTTCTCCAAAACCTCTATATCTCAAATTACAGACTGAAGTGTCAATTACAAATTCAAAGTTCAGTAACTATATTGTGATAGCATATATTGGAGTTGAGAAACATCTCTTGAAATACAGTATATAGTTGAAATTATACTGCTTTTCTCTGATTGCTACTAGTTTCGCTTGTATCTTATTTGTTGAAGAAAGTTAGGCATTAGAAACTATTGACAAACTATTTTTGTTCAGATATGTCAAAATGTTTTATTTATACCTAATACAGGTGTGTATTGTACTTGCTATTGTATTAATAAATTACCATACCTCCAATCAAACCCTATTACTGTTTACTGTGTATACATCGAAACCTGTTTATCTCAAATTTTTTTTCTTGTTTTCGTGAGATTTGCGATAGATGGGTTCAACTACTATATATAAATTTGAAAGTCATATTTTGGTCTTTACTAACCAAAATTCCAATAGCCAAAATAAACTAAATATAATTTAAACTTTTTGTTTTATAAACAAAATGAATTCATTTCTGAATAAAATTTGACATGAAAAGACTAATTTTGTTATTATTGAATATAGATTGTTCCAGATTTTCTTGAAAAAAATTCCATTATTTAAAGACAGAACTTACTGCAAGCTTCTTTTTTATGACCTCGAAATGTTTGAACTTCTTGACTCATATTTCTGATGTCAAATAATTTAAGCAGATGATCTCTTGAAGCCGTTAATAACCAATTTCCATTCTGATTCCATTTGACTTCCATTACTGTACTTTTATGTGCATGTCTATAAAATTTGAAAAAAGTATTTCCAATAAAACTCTTAAAATGGACAAAAAAAAATAACTTTAAGCATTTTAACACTTATTAACACTTACATCGTAGCTAAACTATGACCTGATTTTGGATCCCATAACTTTATAGGCTGTTGACTGTCTTTACTTCCGGATACGATCAATGACTTTTGTGGATGCCAGTCTACACATTTCACATCAGCACCGTGTCCTACGAAAAATATATATAATCAAATATATATTAAATTATCACTATTATATACAAAATATTCACATTAGGAATTCATTATGTTTACAAATGTCATACAATTTAGATTAGTATAGCAATTCTAAACAGGATTTATATGGATATCTAGGATTTTTTCTGGAAACTGTAAATGTCTGGATTCCAAAATTATCATCATATTTACTTACAAGCTTCATTATGTACTTTTGATATTTAACAGATGACATTTGGAGCTGAATAAGAACTAAATAAAGCTTTCTACAACTCCTTCCTACTACCTTGTAACAGCACCACTCTTGACATTTCCAAACTACAGACTATGTTATTTAAGAAACTTCCATACATCTAATGTCTTTTTATCAACAAGAAAGTGATGCTTTTGATTTTCATTTTTGTATTTCATTCTGAAAGAACTTTACTAATTTTTAATTTTCTAATTAAATTATTTAAAAACTTTCCATACATTTCATGGGGTTGCTGCTGGAATATTTTCAAAATTGCCTGTTGTCTTCTTGTTCTGTATGAAAATATGATAAATTTTGTTTGAAATGATTTCAATCAATTTAGTCTGACAAGGATAGTTGTAAGCTATTGAAAGTACTTGCATTTTTGAATAAAAAATCATTTTTAATGTAGCACAGTGAAGCACAGGGCTGCACCCACACACAAAGTAATACAGCACAGGACTGTCCCACACACAGCACACATGCAGCCCAGTGCTGTAATAAATACGACCCAGCACTGTAATGAGTGCAGCCCAACATAAAATCATAAACTTCCTTAATCAAACATCTTTACTAGACCCGATATGTTTAAAAGCTATACACCAACCAAAGTCAAATATTATCGGGCCAGAAATGGCTATAATACTAATAATTTAATAGACAATTTGGCATTAGAGTTAAGCATTAGGTCCATCTCATGATAAATTTAATAATTATAAATTAATTAAATAATTTTAAATAATAATTTTAGAATTACTGGAAGAAAAGAATCAGCCCAAAGCGGAACTCCAGCTTACTTTGGCAATGCATCTGCATTGCCAAAGTAAGCTGGAGTTGCGGGAGTTGGTAAGCAGGAGTTGTGGGTTCAAGTCACACTTCAGGCCGATTGTTTTCTTCCAGTAATTCTAAAATTATTATTTAAAATAATTTATAATTATTAAATTTATCATGAGATGGCACCTAACACCTAACTCTAATGCCCAATTGTTTATTAAATTATTAGTATTATAGCCATTTCTGGCCTGATAATATTTGGCTTTGGTTGATGTATATTTTATAAACTTCCATAAAACATTGAGATCTTTACATGCTTATTTTTTAACTTTTTGAAATTTGCATGGCATTGTAATACAGTAGAGCCTCGAGAACTCGGCACTCGATAACCCAGCACTCCAGATAACTCAGCCACACCTTGCCAGGGCAAAAAAATCCTTAGTTAATTAATTTTCATTATAGACAGCTTTATGCCTCATAAAGTATTTTTCTGAGGTCTGTCTTATCAGGTAAATTACTGTACACAGTGTATTCATTAATTTTCATTTTCATGTAGTAAAGGCTCTATGCCTTCATAAAGAATGTACTTTTCCTTTGTTTAAGGGTATTTGGGCAGTTTATTCTCTGTTGTATTCTCAAGCAAACAATACATACAAGTACAGTACAATATTTTCTGAGGAAACACACATACTTATCCTTTTTTTAACCCCATTTCCGATAACCCGGCGTTTTCACAAACTCGGCCACCCTTTGGTCCACATTAGGCCAAGTTTTCAAGGCTCTACTGTACTTTTAATTAAATAATTGTCACAAAATGCTATTAGTATACACTTTAAAAATATATATTTGGCACGCTTCCTAGTAAAGCTGCTTAAATTCAACTTTGCTAAAAGACAGTTAAGCTATTTCTGCTTTAAGTTAGCTGTTGTAGCTCTAGTGCAGCAAAGTTCACAAGCACTGAAGACAGAAGTTAATTAAGATGGCTGCCACCATAAATTATATGCATATATTGTATTGTACAGTATTTCAAATAAAAAGATTTAGCTACTTTGTGCCAAAATGGGCTACCCTTTTTTTTACTTTGCCTCACAAAATTCATTTGGCACATTTGCTACTTTTTGGGCTACAAAAATTTTACTTGGCTACATAATTAGTTCAACGTTTGTTCATCAGCCAAGACCAGTAAATCTACTTGCATCACCTTTACATGTAGTTTTATAGTTTGTGTGTGGCCTGAGATAATTTCTTTTCTTTAAATGTGGCCCAAGGAAGTCAAAATTTTGGACACTCCTGCTTTGTATAGCAGCTTGTACTGTTATTTGTATTCAATAAAAGTGGACATATCATTTAGAAGATGTTACTAACCAAACCATCCTGTACCATAATCATAGCTTTATGGGGCCCAGACAAATTTGAATTAGTGGGTCCACACAGTGTTAACTTCGTACATTTTTTCTTCAGAGTAATTTTTTGGAGAAAAATATTTTCTTATAAAAGATTAGTTTGGGGCCTCCTATTGCTGGAGGCCCCAGGTAATTGCCCTTTTTGTCCATATGATAACACACCACTAGATAACTTGCAATTTTTGGGGCTATTACTATTGATTTAGTAGAAAAAATATACACAAATGACCATTTGAATATATTTTCTGCTAAACCAAAAATAATGTATACTCTGCTGCACCAGGAAGACACCCGAAGGCATTGTTATTGTGTGATCAACAGACACATCTATTAGTATTTTAGACAATGTATGTTATTTTTTAAGATCTCTTACACTTGAAATAGCTTAAAATATTTTTTTGTAAAATGAAAGCTTAATCAATATTTACATTTTTTTTTATATAATGCTATCAATTATACTGTACAAAGTCATCATAATTAAAGCATCTCTATTTAATGTTGTCTGGATATGCAGCAATTTTACATTCTTGAAGATGAGTTATGAAGCTTGAAAGCACTTGAACAAGTTTTCATTTTATTTTTTATAGTTATTATTCAATTAAAGGTAGTATTTTCTTCTTTAAATATAGTAGAGTTATACTTTAGAACACTTGTTTATTTGATCGTACGATATAAATTCAAATTTAGAAATTGAATTAATAATAATCTTAACCAGAATGAAATAATTATGCATTAGAATGTATCCTGTTTCATATCTTAAATACACTTATTTGTGAAAATAGGTTTTGCTAAAGTAACCAGACGTCTCGGTTTTTGACTCTGTCCCAGCTTGGAAAAATGTCCTGGTCTTGTCTCAGTTTTGAATAAAATGTCCAACTTATCTCATTTTTATTTCTAAGTAAATAGTTTGTATTAAAAAATTGTTTTTAAAATTAAACAGATGTAATTTATAAAATGTTGCTTCAAAGAATTATCCTTTAACATTTACTACATATATTGATAGAATATTACATCCTAGTAAATTACCACAATGTTACTTACATAGAGATGCAGCTAAGCATAGTGCTGTTACCTAAATCCTACACTAATAAATTGACCAGGTGTCTCAAATTAAGCAGAACAGTCCTGTTTGTCAATATGCTGTCCTATTACTTAAACTGTTTGAAAAATATCAATATTCATTGCATAAATTGTAATTGTATAAATTAATTGCATAAATTGTAAAGTTTTAATATTCAATTTATAGAAATAGTAGCCCAATTGGCTATTTATTGTCCAGTCTGTCATCACTACATCACTATCTGTCGGACAACAGTGAATGTATACCACGTGCATTCATGTGAATGATGATTTTTGCTAATTATCCAAATTAAAAAAATATCTCTCTTAAATATTTTAATTTTGATGAGAATAGCAAAATTTTGGCAACTGCTAAATTGTTGGTAAATCAGAAATAGTACACCAAAATCATCACATGACTCATATGATGTCACCTGGCCTAATGTCCCGCTTTTTATGTTTTGTGATCTGGTCACTTTAGTTTTTCCCTATTGATATCATCATAACTTTTGGAGTACCTTCTTCAAGCAGACATAATCTTGATGAAATCACATTCTTAATAGACCACTAGACAAGTTTTCCAATAAAATAGGTCATTTGATCTTATTCAGTGGCTAAATGTAAAAGTTACTTATTACTTACTTATCCAAATTACTTAGACACACCTTTAAAAAAAAATTGCAAAGGATTCCAATATCACAACCTCTTAATAAAAATCCACCATACATTCACTCCTTAGAAATGATAAAGACACCATTAATAAACAACTTTATGTAAAGTCTACTCCATTCCATCTTGGACACCAGAATTGGCCAAAAGTTATAATACACAGGAGCAACAAAACATTCCTTGAATCTTTTATTAAAAGAGCATGAGTCTACTATCACCCCCACGGTCCTAGTGAATTTTGGTACAGATAACCAGGTGCAATTATCCATTAACAATGCACGTATCATACCAGAAAGAAGACTTATCTTAGGAATTAGAAGAAACTAGATATGTATAAAGTATGTAGAAAAAATACTGGCATCAATTTTAAAGGCAATGACACTCTCTCCGAGGCATGAGTTCATATTTTGAAATTGTATAAATAAATTTTTTCATTTGTAAATGGCCACAGTGAGTCTTAATGTATTATTCAATCAGACACTTACTTTACTAGCCACCCATGAAGATTAGTAAAAAAGTAGATGCCACATAAATGCAGTTTTTCGATGCTTGAGTGTTACTATTAAACATAGGTGTAAATAATACTATACACTATATTATATCATAAATTGTGTATTGACTTGATTTTAAAATATAGTAATTAAAAGCAAATTAAGACATACTTAATGTAACACAATTTTATTATAACCAGTGTTGTTCAATTAGCAGTCATTTTATTTAAATGACCATTAAAAGTATTTTGCCAAAACTAGCAGTTAAAAATAAAAGTATTGAAATCATTTCATTCAACTCTTGGTTTATTCTGAAAAAAATTTTAAATGACTAAATTTAAATCAAATTCTGATAATTCACAAAT